TGAACATGCACCCTGGCACGCAGCTGAAAGTGAAACAATTAATCAATAATGCACTCGCCCCTCCCCCCTACTTCAATCAGTGCCGCCCAGCCAACAGGCACGTACGCAGGCTGTGCATAGCTCTAGTACTATAGCCCGCGTACAGTTGCCGCAGGCCTGCCACATACGGAAACTTAAAAAAAAAAATCGGAAAGGTCAATACAAATGTTTGTGTCGGCCCCTTTTTGGCGGGTCGGTAGGGTGAGGGCAAACAAACAACATTTTTATTATGGCCTCAGTTTGGTAAATTTTTTATTTCCTGTGCGGCGATTATCTAGTCGCCCCGCCGGACCAGCTGACACGAGCAAGCAGTCGCCCGGTCGATTTTCTAATCGCCACTGGCGACTGGGCGACCGCTTGTTTCTCACGCTGATAGTGCATTCTAACTTTGTTATTACAGGTATAGTTTCACTTTCATGAGATTAGTACAATAAACAAACAAATTACAACCACTGTTCAATCAGGGCATGGAAAACCGAAAAGCACAAGTCAAACAGTTGTAATCGAAATCTTAACCCTACTCTACTGTAAATTAGCGCACGCATGATTTGTTTGCCTTGTTTTAAAAGCTCAGTCTATTTCAGATTTTAGTCAAACTGAGATGGACACAAATTGCATCGATTGCATTGTTTTACTCACTATGTGAGTATGTCTCGAAATATAATTATAACTAAGGAGCATCCAGTTCACGCAAGCCAGAGAGATGTTTTTGACTTTGTATAGCAAGAATTTGTACTACAGATCCCGGTGCAGACGGTTTCACTAGTTTGGACATTTTTGCACTAGTACAGACTAGACTTGTACTCCTACTAGTACTACTAATAGTAATAACTAATAGTAAATAATATTACTATTACTAGTAGTATTAGTGAACCAGAAATGCCAAGCCACTTATGCCTAGAAACTAAGTGAGAATGGAGGAGGTTATACGTCAAGTTTTCGCATGTTTAAAACCACTATAATTATATTTTATATTGTATGCAAAAGCAACTGTCAGATGTGCACCCACATAATTACACTAGAGAATTATGCGCAGCTACCGAAATGTAATAGCACTACACAATGTAATTGGAATGTGGAGAATCTAAGAAATGAACGCCATCTTGAATATTGACCTTTACATTTAGTGCTACTTTATGGTTATACGCAAGTATTCTTAGATATCAGATAATTAGGATACACTATATACTTACGTAAGGGTTTAACGGGAAAACATAACTCAAGTAAATACTGGAAACACGCATAATAAGCATTCTAATTCAGGTGACATTAATAGTCCAGCAAGCCATAGTTTCGAGGTGTGTTGCTTTGTGGGATAGGTCACGTGACGCGCTGAAACATTCCTGATAACAACCAGAACTAACTAACCGATAAGGATGCAGACAGTCGCGAACGAAGTGTAGGATGTGTACAATATCTGCTGTATTCTATATCTATGCATATGGTAATATATGCGTATATATACATATTATGTATATACGATGAATAATCTATGCACGAAACTGTGAAAAACATTTGGCGTTGTTAATAAACTATATGTAGACAGTAGAGTACTCTATTATACTCTAACACTACAGTGGACATATATGCGCATATCATCGGCACATATGCGTAAAGTACGCATGCAAGTATATAAACTCGGAGTGCAGATAATTACTTAGAGCGCACTTAATCACTTAGGTTTCCAGAACTGTACACAAATATAGCGCGATAAGTCTAACCGCCATTTACTTTTACTTTCCCATTACCCTGGTTTCAATTTCTGGGTATCCGAGGCAGTTGTGAGAAATCAGCACTGTGCTAACACATTCATGCTCGTGATTTCCTAACGCTATTATTCTTTTAAATCTAAAATGTATTTATTGCAACTTAATTTGTCAAGTTAACAGGCAGTTTGGGGCAATTTTACTTATACGACAAACTGTCAGTGTCACACGAACACCAGCTTCGTGACGTCCTCTACAAAATATATACTCTATAAATGGCATGATAGCAATTCACTTCCCAGAAGCAGACTCTCAAAACGCGCACATGGTGTGCACTATAATAGCAACCACCGGTGCTTATTACAAAGGTCAAAATGTGAATGTAAAATTTGCCATGGTATGACGAGTAAACAAATTAAAACAGCATTGGATAAACTAGATATTTGTATTCGATTTCTTAGATTCTTAGATCGATAGTAGATTAATATCTTATTTTGTTTATAGATTTTTTATTTTGTCAAAATTCATATAACTCGCAATTTTTTATAAATAGTCTGTGCGTTTTGTTTTATTGATATATATTGCCGTGTGTAGGTCTATATATATGCCTGTCAGCATGCAGCCTTTCATGACGCAGTGTCATATAGTTATAGGGATGAAACACAGCACATTTGCACACGTCTCTGAAAGAAGGCTTTGCTGATGTTTTCTTTGACGTGCGTTGAATTACAAGACAGGCAAAGTCCCGGGGGGAGGGGCACTCGCCTCGTAACTGGGTAGGGGGTGCCTCGAGAACCTTGAAAACTTTACCCTGTCGCAAACTGCTTTTCGCCCTAAAATACACCCTGTTTTAATATACTGCAGTAAAACGTATATCCTGTTGCAATATTGCACACTTCGGTTATGTCCTGTCCTCTTGTCAATATAGGCAGATATTGGTCCAATATCGGCCTGGTGATATTGGCCCAATATTGCCGCATGCACGCCCGCCAGCAAACTTTCATAACGTAATGGCACATAGTGGCATGCGCCTGTTAGGAAAGTAGGTATATATATATGACTCTATATAGCAGGTTATACTGGTGCCCTCTACATAATAGACGGTGTGACCCCAACCCCTCAGCTTTGCACTTTCTTCGCCCATGGTAGTTACAAATTTACTCAAATAGAAAGGAACACTTAAACACACTTAACTCTTTACTACGCCAGTTGGATCTCACAATACTTATACTGCATACCAGACAACTAGCAATGCTGCCTTTATCCACCTACAGGTGGCGCATAAGTCGCTACATACCTGCCCGGTTTTACAATGTAACGATATGGTAATCCTACTCCCACACTACTTAAACGTCATGCTAATATCTTCAAGAATTCTTTTATTCCACGATCTGTCATGCAGCGACTGGAACTGTCTACCAAAGTCTTTTATCATTATTGCATCTCCAATCAGTTCAAATCTGCGTTGTCTTTACTCCGCGACAAATAACATCGATGTGCACATTCCGCCTGGGGACTTTTGCTCAGTATAGTGACCTACTGTCCAGACACTGGCAAAGATACAGAACAAAAACAAACACGCACGCACGCACGCATGCAGCCAGCCAGCCAGCCACTCTATAGACTAGTATATTCCTTAACCCGGGTTAAGAACAATCTCGCGCTATGCGCTATCCCGGGTTAGCATGCAGAGTCTACACGACGCTTAACACGAGACAGCTCTTAACCCGGGTTAGTTAACCCTCCTCACATCGCGGGGTTACACTAACCCGGGTTAGGCCCTCGTGGAGACGCTTAACCCGGGATAAAAATCATCGTGTAGACGGGGCTTATATTTAAATGTGTTTCTTGAATTCTCTCTCCTCCCCCCTCTCTCTCTCTCTGGTGCAATTTGGTGATGTGCATTCTAAGGTATTCTTAAAAATTATATTTTTTACTCGTTTCGATACACAGATGCGTAGTAAATCGGAACAAGTCCGCAAGTCGTTTTCAAAGATCAGCGGTCTCTGAAGACCGCCCATTATTCCTATAAATTCTCATATTTTATTACACGCGGTCGCTGATTGGCGGTATGCCCAGTATTATCGAATTAGCAGAGGTTTAACAGCATATAACCTAGAAAATCGAACACAACAAACATGGAGAGTTTGTGTACTTCGGATGGACTTTAGGCTTCGGAATTTGACTATTTTTAGTCTATATTTGATTAAATTTACCGTTCATTTCATTAGAATAATGTAGAAGATTAGTAGAGAATAACAAAATAATCAGGCCACAATTAAACAATTTTTTGTTTGCCTTCACCCGACCCAGGCTGAAAAGTGTGGTCGACTTGTTTTGAGGGGGGTCGATCTTTTTACAAATTCAGCAATGGTGTCTACGTGCTCAGGTGTGCTTATGTGGAGATACTTTTTATCATTTATGTTTGCCTACAGATTTATATAATGTACATTGTACAGTGATACAATATACATATAAAATACTTTTAACAACTTGTGTTCTTCAGAGCTAAATTGAGCATGATTTTATTTCCAGATCACACACGCATGCACGCACGCACGCACGCACGCACACATACACGTAATCTGGAAATAAAAGCATTAAAAATAAAAGGAACTTGAATTAAGAAATAATAAATATCTTCTTAGCACATATTAGTCTTTGGAAAGGAAAATAAAGTTAATCTGTCACAGTTATATAGATCCATAATTTAACTTCAAAGTTATTTAATATCTAAATTATAATGTAGTGATTTCCAATTCCAGGAAAGTTTTGCTGTCGCGCTCTCATACCAGCGGTGCCCCCCTCCCACTCCCTACATATGTAATATGAACATGCACCCTGGCACGCATGGAGCTGAAAGTGAAACAATCAATAATGCACTCGCCCCTCCCCCCTACTTCAATCAGTGCCGCCCAGCCAGCAGGCACGTACGCAGCCAGGCTGTGCATAGCTCTAGTACTATAACCCGCGTACATGCCGCAGGCCTGCCACATACAGAAACTTAAACAAAAAATCGAAAAGGTCAATAAAAATGTTTGTGTCGGTCCCTTTTTGGCGGGTCGGTCGGGTGAGGGCAAACAAACAACATTTTTATTATGGCCTCAGTTTGGTAAATTTTTTATTTCCTGTGCGGCGATTATCTAGTCGCCCCGCCGGACCAGCTGACACGAGCAAGCAGTCGCCCAGTCGATTTTCTAATCGCCACTGGCGACTGGGCGACCGCTAGTTTCTCACGCTGATTTGTAAAATAATCGAAATAAAATTTTCGCCACATCAGTTTCATGTTTATCTGTTAATAACATTTACCCGTGACCCTCTATGCGTATGACAAGATGACACTTAGCTTTT